GGACCTGTGGGTCCGCAGGAGAAGCCTGCCCGGCAAGCGGGTGCTGGAGGTACGAGGGGCAGCCCCCTTTCGGCACCCCCATCTGCTTGGCCGGGGGGCGGCGGCCCCCGCGCCGCTCCGCCTCCACCGACGCGCTGTGGTTTCAGGTGGGCGCAGGCGTGAGCCTCCCCGGGGTGGTGGCTGCCAAGTGCGGCGCTGAAGTGACCCTGTCCGACAGCGAGGAGCTGCCCCGCTGCCTGGGGAGCTGCCGGAGGAGCTGCCTGATGAACGGCCTGCCTCACGTACCCGTGGTGGGGCTCACCTGGGGGCGGGTCTCCCCGCAGCTGCTCTCCCTTGCCCCCGTAGACATTATTTTAGGATCGGATGTCTTTTTTGACCCAAAAGGTACATTAATACTCTGGGGTGTCTTTGATTTGTGACAAATGGTGAGGACTTCATGCCCAAGTAGTCCTGGGAGCACCGTCACGGGGCTGGGTGACAGCCATTAGGGTGGCAGTGTGCCCTTGACATTTCATAATTCTATCACTGAGCCATCATAAATACCGTGGCAGGTGGGCAAACAGAAAATGGAGCAGATAAACTGCATAAGGCCATGCTTCTTGGGTCTCATACAGCTGTGCTGAAGTCTTGTATCTATCTTTAACTACCATTTTATATAAGCAGGCAGAGGTAGCCATACCTAGAATGCAGAGACTAACCAAGAGTACTTCCTCTCCCCAAACTACACAGACTTTGAGGATATCCTAACTACGGTTTCCTTCTTGCTGGAGAAGAATCCACATGCTCAATTCTGGACTACTTATCAAGTCCGAAGGTAAACTTTTGCGTATTTAAGACTCAAATCTTAATTCCTGTCTCCCTGGTTTAGCTCTTATTAGAGAACATTAACTTCTCAGAGGCACCACTGCACAAAGCTCCTCCCAGACTGCGAATCAGGCTGGTGTTAACCAAATAAATCATAGGGGTATCTGACAACACCAGCCAAACTGGAAAATAATCCAAGAACCTGACTAGAAAACTTACAAACTCAGTTTTGTGAACCATTGTATTAAGTCTGGGACAGTCCCCTCTAATTGCTGCAGGAGTTATAAGCGTGGATCACATTTTCACACCCCCGGTATTTCCTCCCCCCAGCGCCGACTGGTCGATTGAACCTTTGCTCTGCAAATGGAAACTGAAAAACGTCCATGTTCCCCTACACTCGTTCAGCGCAGACAAAGAGCACTTGGCCAGCTCTTCTCTGCCAGGAAGACATACAATCGAAATGATGATCATCTCACTAGCAGGATCAGATGGTACTTAAGTTTATTCCACTTGTTGGTTCCAGTACAAGGTGACACTCAACTGTTCACTGGAGCATGGATCTGCAGAAAACAGTCCTGTTTACAGCAAACCTCATGCGCATTTTTTGGGAAGCAGAGTCCCTTAACAGTGATTCTTAAAACATGCATTGTAAAAATAAAGCTGTTCAATTGTTTAGCTATGGCTTTTGAGAAATTTGTGCTCCTCCCCAAAGACCATCTGACAGTTCAAAGACTCAATTCCTTTATGTAAGCCACTACACAACAGAGCTTAACAACCTGACAGTCCACAAGATCGAACTTGCATTTGCAACTTCAGCTATGAAGGAAAAAGTTAACTGCGCTCTTTCAGGATAAAAAACAAGCCCAGAAGATCAGTTTCCTAGGACTGAAGCTCTCTCCCAAAGATTCACATACAAAAGGCAGCCCCTTTTATTTTAAAGGAATCGTTGTAGCCTGCCGCTAGCCCTGCAGTCCTGGAACATACAAACTCCTCAAGTTTGTAGAAAAGTACTTTTAATCCTCGATCACACCAGATTGCAAGTATTCAGATGTTTCCATTCCCATTCAACATACATGCATGAAGTTAACAAGGCATTACAATAATAACCCTTGATACATGGTGGTTGAAGTTACAATTCATTTGGTATCCAAATCAAGAAAGAAAAAAAACCAACCAAAAACCAAATCATCCCTGTACCATGAGCTACCATCAAGCAGCCAGTTGTCAGGGCAAGCACACAGCAAGTGCAATTAGTACTGCTCAGTGTGTATCTTCCATACCAACATCCAACAGACCCCTCCAATTCTGTGTCTATGGCCTGGTATGCAATACTTGCCATACAACGTTTGGGTTAGTCACAATACTTGTTAAGTTTGCCCGTAGTAATTTAAAAGCAACCCCAGCAGATAAAATTTATAAGCAGTAGAATGCATTCAGTTACTATATAGAAGTTAAACATTGACAGTGTAATTGCAGAAATCTTTTCAAGCTAAAAATAAGCTGACTCGGACATTAGGTTGAGAAAAGTTAACACAGAAAAATGTTTAATATTAACTACAGAGACAGTGGGTATAGTACAGAATGTCTTAAGCAAAAGATACACCAATCAGTACTTACAAAGGAATGAACCATTTCTTTTCTTAACATTACATTTCTCATATGTAAGTTCATATATGTAGGTTGGTAAGTTTTACCATTCTGGAAAAAATAAGGTGTGTATATCATCAGCTAGATGTGCTCACTGTATGCTCCATTATTTTTACGCAAGGCCCGGGTGACTGGAAGTGCAGTTGTCAGGCATTTTAATTAACTGGACAGCCATTTGTTTCTGCACGACAAGGCATCGTTACACAGGAGCAATCAGGAGAAAACAGGAAACAGCCAAGCACTCTGCACTGCAACACGCCACCTTAACAGCTAACCAGCATTACTCAACTGCTACACAACTGCGCCTAGTGCACAAAAATACATAAGAGAAGAGATTAGAATTGAGTCTGATAAAACAATCCTTTCAAATATCAACTGTCACCTGAAAAGATTTCTACCAATTTGAATTTGAAGATACTATTTGAATTCAAAGTAAAAAAAAGCATTTACAGTAAATTTTCAAATTTAAGTTTTGCAGAATTTTATTTAAGGAATGAAGACAAAATTGAGAATACTTTTTGACAGAGTTAGCTACTCAGCATATAATGGCTGCATGTTTCCTCAGTATGAAACTGGAAGCAGCAAGTTACCATCAGTTTAATTTCAAAGTCAGCACTATATAAACAAAAATGAAGTTTTACCTCAAATATCCAAGCCAATAATGAAATCTGTAGTCGTTCACTTCACTAAATTACAAGAAATTTGAATAACAGCAACAAAATGGCACATAAAATGTAAAATCTGCCACTTGAGGCGCAACTTAAACAAGTAAAAAGTTAGACAAAATGTTACAAAATAACCTTTTCAACAGCTGGTTGCTCGTGCCAGGGGTCTCTCCAATGGACTGAAGACTCAAGCGATCTTTTCCCCCCAAAGGCGTCCTTTATGGAGATTCTCATTTATCTGATGCATCTAGGTTTGAAGAAAGAAAAGTTCAGCCAGGTTTCTACCTTGTCTCTTTGGGTTGTGTGGATGACTTCAGGTTTACTTCTAGTTGTGTTTCAACTGGCTTTGCCTAATTTAATTAAGCTTTAGGAATTTCCACAGTGTTCCACCTCCCCCCATGTGTTACTTTACTTCCAAGGCCAAATGTAAGGTTCTGTCAAAGTATTTAGTTACAAAGAGTAAGAAGCATCAGGCTGTAGATCAAGCCACCATTAACTTCAATTCAGCCTGTTCAACAATAAATTATTAAGTTATATATGTTATAAAACTAGTACTTCTTCATAAAGACTCAACTAAACTCTAATTAGCATTCAAAACAAAGTGTGACTAATTTTCCTACAATTATCTAACTTCAGAGCTAGCTTAGGCCCTTTCCTTTTAAAAATAGGACCAAACAGTTTGAAGGGTTAAAGACACACTATCCTTTCCCCACCCGGTGTATCCTTAGATGCCTCTTCAAGATGTCGACTTGAGGAAAAACTAGTTTCCATGGTTTTCTCGTTGCAAGGAATTTGCCACTTTTCTAGAACAGTTATTACCTCCAGTCAGTATAACGGCCACTGAACCGATCTTCCATTATAAAAGGATAGTGTATCTTTAACATTTAAAGACAAACCTGCTCCAATACACGCCCACAGAAACTGGTCCCTGGAGGATCAGCCAAATCAGTTAAAATCTGCAATACTGGCCAATATTCTTTTAGCAAACAGGAGACCGCAGCTTTAAAGGGGAAAATGCAGATGTTGGATAAATACAGTAAGAAATAGTCATTTTCATCATAGGTTGCGTCTCATACAATATTTTATTAAAACCAAGCCATTAATCTCTCAATAAAACATTTTCTTTCTAAAAAATTTCTCCGTAGAAAGCCCTTCAGTATTAATTTCCCTAAACCAATAACGAAAAGCACTGCTCAAGCAAAAAAAAAAAGCTATTCATGTGCCCCATTAGGATTCACTTGGTTCAGGCTATTAATACTCTAAGAACTACCCAACACCCCACCTAAGTGCTATAATAAATTAACATGCAACATGTGCTGATCCCAAGGTACATTACCATGTTCCTAGGAAGATACAGCTCCTTCTTCTTCCGGAGACTTGGGAGGGCTCTTAGACCTGGATCTAGAGTTGGATTCCCTCTTTGAGGCAGGGGGAGGGCTTCTAGATCTGGACCGGGATCTGGACCTGGACCGGGATCTGGAGACAGATGAGGACTTTGACTTGGATCTCCTGGCAGACCTGGACTTCGAGGTGGAGCGAGACCGAGAGCGTGTGCGAGACCGGGATTTGGATCGACTGTAACGGGACCGACTGCGGGACCGAGAGCGGCTCCTGCTTCTAGATCGGCTGCGACGGCGTCTTCGAGGGCTAAAATGTACCAGAAAGAAAAAAAAAAGCATTAAAAGTTGAACGCGGGTGGCGCAAAAGATCTCAGCGAGTAACTTTGGGACAGGCAGGGCGGAACAGAACCCACGTGGGCAAGAAAATGAGCGTTAAGAGAGCGCCATTGTTCAGAGTGAGTGGCCAGGGGCTAAAACTACCACAGGGCGAAACCCTTCCGCTATGAGGGAACTCCACGTGCCCTGGCTACTAAAGCCCTGCTCCCCCCTCCCAACCCCGCCGCGAAACTCACTCGGAAAAGGAAACGAAACGCAGCGGTCCCCGCTGTACAGGCGCATGCCAAAGCCCCGTCTCCCCGCCTTATTACTGAAATTCCGCTGCCTCCCGCACCCTTCCAGGCACTTACCTGCGGCTGCGG